GAGGGTTTTTGGGGTTTTTTTCAAAACCCCCCCCCCCCCCCCCCCCCCCCATTTTGACCATGTAATTAGGATTAATTTTATTATAAAGAAATATAAAACAACTACAAGCAATATAAAATACATCAATGAGAATGGTGAAAATCCCAAATTATTACATCAATTACAATATTTTAAAGCACTAGTAAGAACAAGCAAAAATACGATTTTAGCTACCCATATCACTATCCAAAATGACAAAATCGACACAGGGTTCGCCTGCAATGAAATATTCAAATACAACTGTCCGGACTTTCCCTGTCTGTATCTGTTACTTTCGAGATTTTCATATTTCGAGAGATTCGGGTAGCTGAAGTCGATTTTCAACAGCAACATAAGGAAATAGTGAAAAATAAAAATTGAAAGCATAAAGATAGACAAAATAAGCAACATCAGCAAATAGTTTTTCTTTTTCTTTTTCTTTCTCTCTTTCTTTTCCCTACATTCACCTCTTCCATTTCCTCCTCCATTTACTTTTCCTCTTCCTCTTTCCTTTTCTTCTTCCTCTACCTCTTCATTTTCCTCTTCCTCTTTCCTCTTTGCTATTACTCTTTCCTTTTCCTCTTTCCTCTTAGCTATTACTCTTTCCTCTTCCTTTTCCTCTTCCTTTTCCTCTTCCTCTTTCCTCTTCCTCTTTCCTCTTCCTTTTCCTTTTCCTCTTCTTCCTTTTCCTCTTCCTCTTTCCTCTTCCTCTTTCCTCTTCATTTCCCTTGCTTTTTCCTTTTCCTCTTTACTCCCACAACTGCTTTTAATCCAAAATATGAGTGAATGAAAAACGCCAAAAATGGACGCCAAACCAACCATAATATTCTCATAAAACGAACCCCTTGGACTTATGGCGTTTTCTATTATTTCAATATTAGGAGGTGGGTCTACACGTTCAAATTTTATCCCTGGACATATTTTGGAATTAATAATTTCAAGGTTACCATTTGCATCAGCAGCTTCTTTTGCCAGTTGAAGGTAAAACTTTTTCTGATTTTTATTGTATTTGCTACTATTATGTGGATTTCCTCTGTAGGTACAACGAAAGTTTTTATCTTTGATGTTCTTATCCTTATGTTTGCAATTTAACACCAACTCCCTTGGTCCAGGGCCGGACTTACACAATTCACGGTATTTACAATTAAAATCACCACAAGTGAAATTACCGGATACCCCGTGTTTTCGAGCTCTACGAGGCACCATCACTACCAAGGCCACTGTAGTAATATACTGGATTGTTTCATTATGAACCTAAAGATACAAAATATTTCATATTTATCAATTTTTTTTCTTGTAATATTTCACATTTTGCTTCGTTTGTAAACAAGTTGTTTGAGACTTGAAGGTCGAATCTGGACCACTTAAACTACAGTCCATGTTATTTTTAGAAATTGAGAGATTATCATGCGGAAGAATAATTCTAAAAAATAGTCGTTTTGTATGGAGTGACAGTCAAGTGGATGTTGATAAAATGTAGTGTTCCAGAAACTAAGTATTGGTCAGACTTTCATGTGACATATTGGAAGGTTTCTGTTAAAAGTTATAAAGGGTTGAATTTCGTGATTTAACATGGAAACAGATGACAAATGATTAAGCGGTCTTAGTCCATATGCTTAATTGTAGTTATCTCCCTTGATGGAATTAGAGAGCATTGTAACAGAAAATTCAATAAAAACTCCCAGACTATATCCTTGTCATAAACAGGTTTAGTTTTGGCGTCAGAGACTAATTGAAAATTTAGACAAAGTTAGGGTTGGTTGGTTTTAACCAGGGAATTTAGACAAAGTTAGGGTTGGTTGGTATTAATCAGGGAATTTAGACAAAGTTAGGGTTGGTCAGTTTTAACCAGGGAATTTAGACAAATTTAGGGTTGGTTGGTTTTAACCAGGGAATTTAGACAAAGTTAGGGTTGGTCAGTTTTAACTGGTCAGTTTTAACCAGGGAATTTAAACAAAGTTGACGTTGGACGGTTTTATCCAGGGAATTTAGACAAAGTTAGGGTCGGTCGGTTTTATCTAGTGAATTTAGACAAAGTTAGGGTTGGTCGGTTTTATCCAGGGAATTTAGACAAAGTTAACGTTGGTCGGATTTAACCAGGGAATTTAGATAAAGTTAGGGTTGGTTGGTTTTAACCAGGGAATTTAGACCACCTAAATATATTCAAACCTAGTCGACTCTGTTTGTGGGTATAAACTGACTTGTTTTTCTACTAGTATACGGTTGCTCGAAAAGGCATGTCAAGATTAGAAGATATAATACCTTGAATTGAAATTTATATTGAGGTATAGTTAGAACAGATGAAATCATCATTTTCTTCACATTTTTATTTTATATTAGTTAAAATAGAAGTCGAGTGAATTAATACCTAATATTATTAATACATGTATAGTGTGTAGAGTACACTACTCAAGACCATATCAAACTAACCTTGGGGGGTAGATTCAACAATAATTCAACGTTTTGACCAGTTTAAAACAAGTTTTTACCTCTTTGTGGTCATCAACCCTGAACTAAGTTTTGTACAGAATTTGTTACGTTCGAAATAATATCAAATTTCAGCATCCATCTTCTTCACCATAGCAACAGGACAAAACGTCTAAGCTATCGGTGCTGTTTTGAAAATGATATTCCGATTTGCGTGAAAAATCTAGAGTTGCCAATGAAAGTACAAAGACAGTACTACTAACCTGAACTTGGAATAAAAGTAAATCTGCACCGTGTCTCGTCTGGCTGACGTGTTCACTTGTGAAACCCCATCACTTTCAAACCTGCATCACGAATAATTTTTCGTTGAAAAGAGTCATTGGGGTAAAGAATATTGCATTCAAACTGAATATGAATAGGGTTGTTTATGGCCCTTTCATGGATATACACTCAATATTATTATAGATTATTTCATAGTAATCACGCAATAACGTACAATGAAATGCAGTAATTCAGAATACGGGGGTGTGGTCTTCACGACGATGAAGAACAGACCTATAAAACTGATGGAGGGAGACTTCATGGGTAGTTTGTGAGACCATTAAAGAAATAACAAAAAGCGCTGATATTTTTGTCAATTGGGGGCCCGTTTTATAAAGTGTGGAATGATCTCATAAGTTTTTCTTTAAATTGTGGGGATACAATCGATTAGGGTGCCTATCATATTACTAGAAGGGGGGTACCCCCCTTCCATGGAAAAGCTTAACATCAAAGGGGAACAACTCCTCTATAACCAAGGGGTTAATACAGCCGAACGCAGACCACTAATTTCAATAGGGTATTTTATTTATCAATATTAAATCACGAAATTCAACCATCTATAACTTTTCGTTTAGACTACATTCGTGCACAACCAAAATGTATAGAAGAGTTGTTCCTCCTTTGTCAAGAGTTTAGAGTTTCCAGGTCATCCCCCCCCCCCCCCCTCCCCCCCCCCCCCCAATTTGACCATGTAATTAGGATTAATTTTATTATAAAGAAATATAAAACAAACAACTACAAGCAATATAAAATACATCAATGAGAATGGTGAAAAAATCCCAAATTGTTACATCTTCCAAAATAACTAACAGTACTGTACAATAATAACTCAGTCTGTAGAGAGATAGCTTCATTTTATTTTATTATAATTTATTATTTCAATAACATGAAGGCTTTGCCCTCCCAACACCCCCCTCCCTCCACCACACACCCCCTCCCCCTCAAAGTTCTATAGCCGTAGCTATCCTTCTAAAATCGATACTTAGATATCCATCTATATTGAATCAAGTGGCCAAATTAAAATAATAAAAATAGAAAAGTAAAAAAATAAAAATATTTTAAAGCACTACTAAGAACAAGCAAAAGTACGATTTTAGCTACCCATATCACTATCCAAAATGACAAATTCAACACAGGGTTCGCCTGTAATGAAATATTCAAATACAAACTGTCCGGACTTTCCCTGTCTGAATCTGTTACTTTCGAGATTTTCATATTTCGAGAGATTCGGGTAGCTGAAATCGATTTTCAACAAAAGTAAAATAAGCAACGTCAGTAAAATAGTTAAAAAACATGCTGATATAGGAAAAGTATAAAATAAGAACAAACGACAAAATAAAATTGAACTCTATCATCTCCGTTACTCTTTACTCCACCATTTATTGTACATCGATTTGAATCATGGTGTCTTTTTCTTCTTCGTCCAATATTCGAAAGTGGCTGATACTCTATACGTTCAAACTTAATATCTGTACACATTTTTTTTGCATAAATAATAACCACCTTACACTGATTACTTGCAGCTACTGTTGCTAAATCTTTGTAAAATGCTGCCTGATTTTTATTGTATGCTCTACAAGGGTGTGGATTTCCTTTGTAGGTACAACTAAATTTTATTCCTTTGCATTTTTTATCTTTGTGTTGGCAAGTTAACGTCATTGATCTTGGTCCACTGCCGCCCTTACTCAATTCACGGTAATGACATTTAAAATTACCACTATCGATGTCACCCTGTACTCCTTTATTACTTCGAGCAATACTAAACATCATCACTACCATGACTACTATAACTAACATACTGGATTGTTTCATTATGAACCTAAAGATAGACATAAAGTGAGTTAGACACTTGTTCGCTAACCTGAAGGTGCAGGGTTCAATCCTGGCATTTTTCAAAATGGAGCACAAGAAATCTTACTCTTATAGGAAAAATTCAACTTATAAAATCCTTTATGTTACCCAAAATCCACCAAAAGCAATATATATATATCTATATATATACCAGAAAAAATAATCAACAAATAATCAAAAAGTTTATCAATTTCTATAGAATGATCCAGATGAAGTTGAAGGAAACTAATAAACCGAGATACACAAAATTGTGGTTCGAATATGATCGATCTTCGTTTATTTCTAAAACGTCAAAGTTTATTTTGGATATAAACGTTTTTATTCGATAAGTCATAAATTTGTTGTACAACTGTAAACTTCATTGTAAGAAATTGCTGAGATCAACTTCTTGTTGCCTGTAATTATGACAAAAACCAAAAAATTAACATACCTTTCTACAATAAATTGCTTGAGGTCTGATTCAAAGATTTAGAAGTTATAGCTTTATAAAGACTCGTCTGTTACACATGCCTGATAAAAAAACGGGTATTTTAAAATATTCACAGAGAAAGATATATGGTTAAAGATGGGTTTCCTTATTTTTTTAGTGTCAAATTAAGCAAACTTTTTGATTAATTGGTGTTTCTAATGAATTATCATGTATTCTCAATCATATCATTATGTTCTTATTGCATATGATTAAGAGTTTTAACCAATTATAAATATCCATGTATGTACAGTCTGGATAAACAAAAAAAAAGAAGACTTTTTGACCTTTCTTGATCGGTCACTCATTGGAATTCTGCTGGTAATTCTCTTCTAATTTATCTAATTATGGCTAATTTTGGACATCTGAGACAAACTGGTATTTTTCCAAGTTATTAGAACACTTCTACTTTGTATTCATATAAGTATCAGCATTTTCATTTTCATAAATAAAAATAAGGGAACCCATCTTTAAGATTATAAAATAGATAATGTTAGAACACGTCCGTTATTCAATATGATACATCCTGTTTCTATCATTATTCTGTATGATTCATGTAAATATTTCAATGTATTATGTAATATATTATATTAGAGGGCTGGGGAAAAATTCCCAAAGAAACGATTTTTCGTTTTATCAAAAAGGACATACCTAGTAGACTTCCAAGAAAGTCCCAAAGAATCCGGCTTGGGGAATTTTTTCTAGGCGAATTGAAATTCAAGGATTCACCCTCTTTTTAACTGGAAAATTAGAATTTTCACATTAACACCTGACCTGAGAAAATAATTTCGAAACGAATGATTTTTTGTTTTGTTTTAATTAAAAGTGCATGTTCAGGGGTGTCATTAAGGGCCGGCAGCCGGCGAAAAACGCCGCCTATTTGATTCCAAATCGCCGGTTACTTTCAGAACGGTCAGAAAATAATCGGTTTGAAATTAGGACTATCGCTGGGGTTAAAATAAACGCAAATTACTATGAATTGTATTTGAAAGTCACCGGGAATTATGCAATATTTACTAGTCAATATAGATAATATACGCCAGTAAATATCGATAATATTCACCTGTAAATATCGATAATATTCACCTGTAAATATCGATAATATTCGCCAGTAAATATCAATAATATTCGCCAGTTTCATACACAGTGCGTTATCACCAAAAATATTACACTAATACAATATGTTGGAGAATGAGTTCGATATGATATACCGAATACGGGAAGGCCTATACATATTATATATTTCAATACCCTGCAGAACTTGTGACGAATGGAGTTATGGCTTGGTCGTCTACTCGTGTAAACCGTCACATTAAAATTGATTTAAAACTTTTTTGAATTTTTTAATTACCAACAGAGCACGTTCTGGATAATTTTACAGTTGAAATAAAACCATTTCCGTCGTAGAAATTACATTTGAAATGCCATTTTGGACTGAAAATTCAGTTGTGTGAAACACATTCTCAATGAAATAATTTACTAATTCATCAATAGAAATTTGCGCCAACTTAAAAATATAAAACTCCAATATAAAACTCTTGGTGGTAGATAGGGGGAGGGGGGGTGTAGCCACCTACTTTGGTTGTACAGCCACCTACTCTGATTCTTATTGACACCCCTGTATGTTTAATTATAGACTTAAAGTTTAAAATAATCCGAGGTGGGGATTATTTTGATGGGGATTCAATATCCAAGATGACGACTGAGTATGACATTTTTTATCCTAATTTCCGGCTATACCGTGTAATGCTTTGATCACCTACTTACTCGACCATCGAAACTCCTGCGTTACAAAAATTCAGTCCAGGATATAATAACTGGTCTTTACACATTTCAGGTTATAATTATGTTGGCACCCTTGACGCATCGATGTCGGTCATCAATGGACAATACAATTCTCAATCCAACTTCCAACATTTAGTGTCTGTTCAGTGTCTAACGCATCATTATCGAAGGTTAACCGCTGTCACATCAGCAAATGCATTCTCAGGGCATAGCAATTCGCAGCTCTCGTCGTTGGTCTTTCTGGATCTATCGTTTAAGAACTATGGACCATCGATTGGTATTTCACGAATAGTTGAGTGCACAGGTTTTCTGCTTTCCTGACTCAATACTAAATCTAAATGCAAAAGATTCTTTTATCAACTTTGCTGACCTCCTTTAGTCTCCACCAAGGCATTGTTCGGTGATATTATGTCCACGTATTTCTGGACAGCGACTGATAAAGTGAAGAGTTCACCCTGTCCTTTGTGGTGGATGTGTTTAATGCTAGGCATACAATGTAAATTGGTCATCGTATTTTACCTTGATATATTAAGCAAGATCTCAATACATTAGTTTGTACCACCTGGCTTAAAATACAACCTCTCAATAAATAAGGTACGGTCAGTACTCTGATAGACCATTGGTCAGTGAGGCCAGGTGTGTCTTGTTATTGTTTGGAATCGAGCTGATATTCGGGGAAATCTCAGATACTAGACCAAATATAGATCGTGGTGGATGGTTGGAGATATTATTTTGTAGAACATCAATTGGGGTGCATATCATTTTTCTAGAAGGGCAAATACTCCCTGTCCATGGCAAAGTTTTACATCAAAGGGGAACAACCCCTCTATAACCTAGAGGTTAATACAGTCGAACGCACGCCACTAATTTCAATAGGGTATTTTATTTATCAATATTAAATCACGAAATTCAACCTTCTATTACTTTTCATTTGGACTACATTCGTGCACAACCAAA